GGTGCACTTTCACAGAAACCCCTGCACCTATCTCCTTGAACCTTAGCAGGCTTCATGCCCTGAGAAGGGGCTACAATCCCTGTTGTTTTCATGTGAATCTGCAAAAAAAATGACAAAGTTATATGTATTTTAGTGATTCCCCATTATAGTCTATGGTCAAATCTCCAAATCAGTGCTGAATCTCCGAATCTGATTTGGCCAAATTGAATTGGGACAGTGCCTCGAATCACCAAATCCAATTACTGTCCCTCTGAATCTGCTGAAGCTGAATCTGAATCGAATACTTGCTGTTTTGCACAGGCCTACTAGATACTTCCTTGTGTTTTAATACAGTGCATGAACCTACACAACCATAGGTATGTGTTACAACATACAACAACCATATCTAGTATCTGTGATATGTAAATTACTATCTGTATGCATAAAGGGACAGAGTATATTTTAATTAAGATTTCCTTCTTTTAAGAAGTAGTTCTAAAAGGTAGCAGAATTTTGGAGGGGAAAAAAAAGCAAGTACTAGCTATAGAAACTGAGCCACAGCCAAATTAGTAACCCAGAGTGGTTGGAGTGTGTGCCAGTTCAGGTTTAGAAGTCAATTTAGTTTCTTCAAGTCTACTGGCTCTCTCACTGTGAGCTGGAAAAAAGGACCTAGATTTATTTTTTATTCCTTGTAAGCATCAGTTTAAGTCACAGTCACTGTTCATTGTTTATTTTTTTAATGGTAGCCATCAATCTACACTAGAGGATTTTTGAATGACTCCTGTAGTGGCACAGCTCCATTGTCATTAAAGTGGTTACTCCAGGAAGCCCAGCATGGGTATAATATTTTAGATTCCTTCTGTTGCAGTTATATACAAGCAATAGGAAAATAGAAACCCCAAAGAGTAAAGCTGAGATCAGTAGGTCATGAGGTGTTTTTCCAAAAGCTTGCCAAATTCAATACCCTGCATGCTATAAACAAGATTGCATTACAAGTGATACATGTAACACTTTGCCTGCTGGAGTGAAGGTTTTATCCTTCTACCACCAAAAATTCATGATAGAAAGGACTAAGGATCATCTACATCAGTAGCAGTCAACCTTCTTGGCAGATATGCTACTAATTAGCCCTCCCCACAAATGCCACTCCAGTCTCTTTCCCCTGCATGATCTGCTGCTCTGTTTTCTGCTTCCTGCCCCAGATTCCTTGCCTGATCTAATGCTTTGCTTTCTGCTTCCTGCCCTATCTGCCACTGTGCTGCTATTCCCTTCCCCAGTCTGCTGTATGCCACATGCAGAGGCTGCCCGTGGTGCCAAAGGTTGGCTGCCCTTGACCTCAGCTCTTCCCTTTGTCCAACAATAACACTGCAACAAAGCATTTTAGCCACTATTCTTTACTTTACATGTCACAGATAGCTTGCAAAATATTTATTCACTATAACAAGCTGAATTGGTACCCATATTTGATCAGAGCAGATTAAGACCACACACACTCAGTACTCCTGCTGACTTGCATAACTGGGTAGGAATGATAGAGTCAAGGCCATTAAGAGGCAAATTCTGGCAGCCGTTGTATACAGCTGTAGATGTCATCCAGAAAACCCACAGAGAGTAGGGACTCACTCCATGGGTCCTGTTTTAAGAGCTGCAGATGAATGTTCCAGGATAGAAAGAATACGGATGAAAATCAGCAGCTTTGCTCAAATCACGAGTCTCCAGATACTTGGTGTCTTTCTTGTAGTGCCAGCTCACAAAATCATAGATTTTAGGACCAGAAGGGATGCCTAACCTGTTCTTGCCTCCTGTATATCACAGGCCATTACATTACATCCACTTATGGTTGTCGTGAGCCCAATAATTCATTTTTAACTAACGCATATCTTCCAGAATGACATCCAGTCTTGATCTGAAGCCTTCAAGAACAGGAAATGGCTTGTTCCTGGACTTAATTATCCTCACTGTTTAAAATGTATGCTGTGTTTCTCATTTGAATTTGTCTGACCTTGACTTTGATCCATTGGCTCTTATTTTGCCTTTCTTTATGAGATGAAGCAGCCCTTTAACCCCACAATTTGGAAACCACAAAAGTGCATATTCATCATAATCATATTGCCTAGCATTTTTCTAATGAGTTAAAAGGTTCTTAACAGTTTCATGACCCTCTCCATTTTAATACATCCACTGGACAGAGATCACATACAGTAGGCAAGGAGGGGTTCTGCCACTGCAGCAGCAACTTGTATATAAAAGAATCTGTGAAACTGATAAATTCACCTTTTTGTCAGTATCACTTACAGCTGTCAATTTAAACCAATCTTTTTACATGCTGGATCCATGCTGAGCCTGGACAAAGGGGCCTGCATAAAGTCTGTCAAGTGGACATCAGTTAACTGGCATTGTACTTCATGTGTTAAGAGCAGCATGAACTCCCACAATGAACAGTGTTACCCTGTATGCTGCCTGTGTAGATATTTAGACAATACTTTTAGATTGGTTTTGTTTTCACTTGGAATGAATATATTTGTGCAGCAATGACATAATGTCACTAAGAACAACAAATTGCCTCAATGGCAGCAATTTGCAGCCTACAACTGAAAATTTTACTTTGTTTTTATAGGATCATGACATATTAAGGTGATTTTAACCTTTTAAGTCAGGCTTTATTTTTAAAATCCTTTAATTTAAAATACAGTATGAGTAAGTTATTGAATTCTGAAATTAAATTTTATAGGCCTGTTAAATCAATTTCAGGAAGCTCGTTCCCAGCATTGCACTGGAAGAGAGAGATTTAGCTAAGCATTGCATGCAGTAGTCTTTGGCAGCCCTCACTCTTCAATGGAGGTACCATAAATGCAATATTTACCCAGTTTATTCAATGGCAATTCAGGCTTAGGGGTCATACTAGGTTTTGCAGAATCCAGTACACTGTCACTGTGAGCTATAATAAATATGAGTTATTTTTGCTTCTGCTATACATTCAATACATTTTGCTCAATACACATGCGAAGCAAGTTTCAAGACAGCTCTAATAAGGTTGGTCTGAAAGCTGTGTTATGTCACTTCATGAAGGTAGCATGCTGTTTTCCACCATCAAGCTCCACAGACTTTATAATGCAAAAAAGTTATGATGCTTTCTACTTTGAAGTGGAGATCAGAGCCACAAACTTGCAACACATGCCGTTTCTTTAGAACCCAGATCCACTTCCACTGAAGTCAGTAGAAGTGCTGTAATTGCAATCAGTGGAAGAGAGGTTCAACTCCAGGGGAGAGATTAACATAAGCAAATTAACTTCCTGAGTGCTTTGGGATAAATATCTAACAGAGAGGGAGAGACAGAAATATAACACAAGCACAACAGTATGCTTCAGAAGTACTTCACAGGTTAGCATGTCTTATGGTTAAATGCAAACATAAAATAAGCATTCAAACACTCTCAGGGTTCTTCTCTTTAGGGGTCAGCTGTTTTTGTTTTAATACAGTGCATGAACCTGGCAGCCAAGTTAGCCAAGCCATCTCTATAAAAAAGTAAAAGCACGTCAGAGCTTTCCAGAAGTAGAATAAAAGAAACCAGGCTCTTTGCTGTTGTTGCACAGAGGGCAGGAGAAACAGAGGGAAGCAATGTGAGCCATTCTTGTGAGAAAGGGACATAGGAAGCAGAAAGTTTGATGATTAACAATAAAATAAAAATGGACAATTAGGGTTTACCCGAAGATGCCTCTGATTTTTCTAGGGCACCAGACACCGTAGGTATAATGCTTTCCTGGAGTGGTTCACTGGTACCTGCAAGATGAAAGATTAACAAAACAGAGTGAGAAAAGACAGTCTAATATCAAGGGGTGGAATACAAAAAGAACAGATATGAAAAAAAAGGATTTATTAATCTTTATTTATTCCTGGTATGCAATTACAACACTACTTTAAAAAAAAGGAAAGAAAAAAAAAACCCAGTGAAGAAACCCCCAACCAAATGGAAAACCTTACCAAATGCCTTAGAGGAGTTCTGCATGAAGACCATCTCATTATTGGAATGTATTCACTATTTTAAGTACAAGAAAGTACAGAGGATAACTACAGGCTGAAATAACCTGTTTACCATAGCAAACAACAGGAGGTTTTTAAAACCCATCAGTATGGTTGTATTTTACTTCTGAATAGATCTCTTGACACACTGACCTTTTAGTGTGTCCCCTTTGGCTGAAGGAATTCCATAGTAAAGTTCTTCAGTGGTTAAAGCAAGAGAAAGCTATGGCCACCTTATTGCTAACTCAGCCACAAATAGAAGCAAGTTGCTTAACAGTTTTGAATCTCATTTTACATGTTCATAAAATAAAATTAAAATATTCACCCCCCACAAAAAAATTATACAAATCTTACAAGCACTTACAATCTCAACTAGCACTTCACAAAAGTCAAAAACACTGGATGCTAATATTTCATACAAAGAGTTGAGTAATGAAGTACTGAAGGCATTCTGCTAGGTAATTAAACCAAGAAAAAATTATTAAGAAAGAGATTTATTTATATTACATAGCAGATTTGCTTTGATGAATTAGTAGTAGAACACACACAAGCCCTTATAAAAGAGAGATCAATAGCTTGGACCATCGTTCAAAGCCAATTCTCCCACGTTCCACACCAAATGCATAGATTCTTCTAACTATAGCCTGCTCTGGTCCCATCTGAAGTGAACAGAAAGATTCTTGCTGGCTTTATGCAAAGTTCAATTGGGAATTATGAAAGAGAAGAATGTGCTAGTTGTTTGACTAATTTAGCAAAGCAATTTAAAGGGTGAGGGAACATAGGAAAGCATTGAGGAATATGGGTTGCTGTGTTCAGAAAACATTCCAAAGTGGAAAATACTGTAACAGGCTTGGCAGAAATGAGGCGTGGAGATCATCTAGCAGTCTTTCCATGGACTCTCATGCCAAAGGAGAAGAGAACTGAAAATAAGAAAATGGTAGGATGCTTGGCTTAAAAAAAAAAGTAGCAGAAAAGTCACTGCAGTCTGTCAAACAGTGCAACGCAAACCCTTGGGGAGAAAACTGTATGGTATAACCAAACAGAATAGTACTCAAGGTCATGGAACCTTGTAGACAGCTCAACTGGCTGAACATTCTGATACCTTTTCTTCTTTTCTTCTTTTACGGAAAAGGGAAAAATGGGGATGATGTTTTGCAGCGGACTCTGAATATTTCATTGCCACTGCTAGGACAAGTTCTCCTTAAATATGTCATAGTAAATATCTACAGGGAATGTCTACACGTGCATTTACAGCAGCTTAAATTTACTGCACGGTAAGTTAATATGCCTTAACGCCTGCACATACAGATGTTGGCCTATTCCTGCTTAATGTGCTATTGCACAGTAAGCAGGAATAAGTTGAGGTCCACACCGGCAGGCATTAAGGTTCATTAATACCGTGTGTTGGAACTAACTTTAGTCCCAAGTCATTCCACACACACACTGTTACTACACAGTAAGACGCTACTGTTCAGTAAGTAATGATGTAGGTATCAAATTTACGCTCAAGTTGGCATAAGTCACCTTATTTACTGTGTAGTATGGGCATGCATGTGTAGATACACACCTGTACTGTGCAGTAGTTTCAGTTACTGCGCAGCAAATGCACACACATAGATGAGCCTACAGTGTCTCAGCCAAAAAGACTCAAGTCATTTAAGGGTAAGACATTGTACACAGGATTAGAAACTCTGTGGATGCGTCTACACAAGACACTATTGTGCAGTCATTACTGAGTATTTATTTAGTACTCATATTAGCAAATGTCTTTTAGGTGACGCTACTGTGCAGTAGCCTAATGATACTGCACAGTACTGATATTTTCAAGCTGTGCTCAGACAGGATTGAACTACATGAAGCCTAGCCTTAGTCAATTGTGTCCTACACTTCCTGCCTCCTGCAAGTCCTACCTTTTAATACACAACTTCCAAAAGCCTTTGGTCTTAGTTCATATATGTACAAACTCAAGTACCCAACACAAACAGTGGGTGTGTCTGTCTACACATGCATTTGATCCAGGATCAGTTTACTTGCAAGTAAGCTACTCATGAGTAAACACTCCTGAGCAGGCATCTACACATGCAAGGAAGTGGGAGCAGATTTGCTCTTAACAGCATCAAACTGCTCCCATTTTGTGGGGCCCTGCAATGGACCCCTGCTATCATCAGGGGGGCTCTAAGCTCCCTCTGGGTAATAGCCCAGGGGCTGCCAGGAAGCACCAAGCTAAGAGGTAACTGTCTCCTGGCAGGGGCTGGAACATTATACCTCGCCCCAGGGGGCTGCCTTCTGCCAGGGCGGGGGATAAAGTCCCCCTGCCTCAGCAGCAAGGAGCTCCTGGCTCTGGCTCCCCAATCAGAGGTAGCAGATTTGGAAAGAGCTGCAGGGGAGGGGCAAGTCCCAGCCCCCTGCCCCAATCTGCTGGTGAGGCAGCTCGAGGTAGGGGGATGGGATCTACCCCATCAATACAGTTCTTTCCAAGCCCTGCGTCTTGATCAGGACAGTTCCTAGCTCTCACCTGGCATGCAGAGGGAGGCTGGGGAGCCTGTTTCCTACTCAGCTCCATAGGCACAGAGCTGGGTGGGGAAGAGACTCCATAGTCCCCAACAAAGGGGGCTCCCAGGGCCAGCTCCACACCATTGGGATCTTAGCACTAGGTTCATGGTTGTGAGGCCAGTGCCAGGAGATCCTTATCTCCCAGTGCCAGCTCCCTGACTGTGGGGCCTGTGCTGGGGGACCCTGTATTCCAACCCCTGCTTCCCAATCTTCCAGCCTTCACTTCCCAATCATGATCTCAGAGCAGGGGGCTTGGAACTCCACACCCAGGGAGACATAGTCCCTGCCCAGGCTCTGGTGGTAGAGTGTACCCCAGCAGCAGGCAGCTTTTGGTGGCGGGGAGAAATTTCCCACCCCCTGGTGGACAGCTGACTGGAAGCAATGGTTCCCAGTCAGTCATCTAAATAAATGCTATTGTGCTGTTACTAATCAAAAGTAAATTTGCTATTAGCATTTGCAGGTAACAAATTTATGCACGATTAGCAAGGTTTACTGGGGGCATCTACATGTATCACTATGGCAATATTGTTACTGTGCTGTGATTTAGTACTTCCTTTTGGAAGTACTAAATCACAGCACAGTAGCAGCCTGTTCTGTGCTGTACGTGTGGTGCACAGTTATTTTTAGCAGCTACTTTCCCATAGCAGCATGCTATACTGGGAAACTCATTGCTACGGCAAAGTAGCTGCTGGTCACGTGTAGATGCCTGCAGACACTACATGGTCATAGCAAGTTGCTATGGTGATGTAGCATCATGTCTAGATGCACCCATTGTGTAGTAAGTATGTGCACATGTAGACACACATGCTTACTTCACAGTAAACTATGTTACTGCACAGTTATGCATCTCATGTAGATGCACCCTGTAAGCATAAAGTGTCTAGTGCTAGACATGCAAGGATCGCTTTCCTGAACTATATTCTAATGGAATTCTCTATTTGACATTTTTTTTGCACACTCAAATATTACTTAATATTTTCAGGCTGCCCTGAGAACAATTAGGTTATGTTTATACGATGTTTGAGAGAGCATAATAAATAAATGCAATAGTGCTCCATCACAAAGGAAAATAGAAAACTCTCCATCCTTGAAAGTTTCTCAGAGAAGATATAACCCTCTTGTGAAATTCTAGCTTTCAAGCATAAGAATTCAAGCAAATTATCTGTGGCTACACACAAATATCACATAGGACATGTACAGACGAGTACACACATGCAGTATGTGGCACCTCAAAGTAGTCTGAGATGCCACAAACCGCACAAAGAGCATGTGTACTTGTTTGACGCACTGTTAATTTGCAGTGTGGCAGGGTTTGTTTGACACCAGGAGATCTGCTTTTTTCTGTGCCTTTTTTGTTTTTACACCAGGAAATCCTGGTGTAAAAAAAAATGTAATTGAAAAACGCAGTACAGTGCATGACGTAGCAGTGTGCACCACCAGAAATGGAGCCTGGCTGGCCAGAGCCATTGTGTGGCTGCTGGCCAGGCTCTGAATGGCTGGATTGGCACTGATGCTGCCGCTAGGACCATAGGTAAGACTGCTGGGGCCAGCACAGGTGCTGGCCCCAGCCTCCCCTACCCCAATCAGAACAATTTGCCCCACACCAATCCCACATGCGGGGACATGTGCAGTGGCAAATAGCAGTGGCACAAATTTTGCTGTGACAACTGCACACCCCTGTATGTGGGGATGTGGCCATAGTGATAATTTGTTTCTCACTCTTAAAGATTTTTGATAACTACAATCCTGGAACACAGAGCTACCCAAAGTATTGAACAGAAACAATATGAAACACCAAAAAACAGATCCATGAACACAAAAGAGTATATCCGTTGGTACTTTAAGGAAGAGAGAATCACTGAAAGGATAGATTACTAGAGAAAGAGAAGGCAGTATATGGATGTAGCATTTATCATGGTTTATTTGAAAGTGAATATCTGGAATGTCTTGGTAAATAACTAATAGGTAATGATAATAATAGGAACATTTATGTCTTTGGAGGAAATGGATTTAAGAGTGGTTACCATTAAAAAGCCAGCATTTATTGACTGCAGTCTCACAACTGAATTTGAAATACCACCTTATCCCACTAATAAAATGGGAAATAACCATAACTGGTTATCTGAATGTATGTTGACCTTTTTGGGTTGGTGCTTCTGTAAAATATGTAAGTATGCACAATTGCAGCATGTAGAGAAAAAACTAAG